TACTGTATAACAAATTAATCTCTTTGATACTGCTTTTGAAGGGATCTGAGGATGCATAAATTGGTATTTGAGGAAGATGGGTTGCCAGATGGAACTGAACTAGGGTATTTTGTTCGTGGGAAGGTTAGTTGAACGTAAAAATATCTATTTCAACTATGCCTACTTAGTGGTTATTTGATGTGTTGCAGAAATTGCTTGTTGGTTATAAAAGGGGATTTGGAATATTATGCACTTGCTGCAATTCAGAGGTACCTTTTTTTCTCTTTCCGCTATGAATGTGTTGCTTCTTAAATTCTCTGATTTTTTTTAATGAGCAGATAAGCCCCTCACAGTTTGAAGCTCATGCTGGTTTTGCAAGTCGTCGCAAGCCGTAAGTTTCTGCTTGGACTTGGTTGTCAAAGCCTCGTTATTTTTGGTCATATTTTATCTTGTAATTGGTATAATAATGACTTGGTGCACTTGGTGTATGTATCTATAAACATAGTGTTCTTTTGACATTTCATCTGTTTACAGTTTTCAAAACATTTACACATCAAATGGGGTATCTCTCCATGAATTGTCGATATCCCTATCAAAAAATCGGAAGTTCTCTACATACGAGAATGATGATCTATGTAGCATATGTTTGGATGGAGGGGGTCTATTGTGTTGTGATACATGTCCGAGGGCTTTTCACATAGGTTAGTTTTCAACTTTATTCTTGGGTATTCTCTTCATTGGCAACTTTTCAGGATTCACTTGTTTGTATGAAAATTGATACGCTGGATGCATTTTAGCAATGTCAGTAAAGAAAGTAACTCTCATCTTATGAACTTCCAAACGACAGGAAATTATAACTAGTCTTATATATAATCTTTTGACTCAAGTTGAGAACTTCGACTTTTGCTCTTGGTTGGCCGCAATGCATTTCATAAGTGAAGGCAAACGTTTTTTCTAATGTCATCTCCCAATTGTTTAAGCACCTATGTGGTTTATGATATTGCAAAGTGAAATTGAATATTTTTGGATGCAATAATTCTGGGGAGTTATATATGTGTGAACAAAACTTGCTTATTTCAGAACTTTTTTCCCCTTACCGATCACCTTTACTTGCAACTGAACTTAATTAGGAGAGTTGAGAGTTAGTTACCATCTTGTACCCATTTTGGAACTTTTACATGTTTATACTTTCCTTATGCTTGGGTCATTCAGACTGTGGTTTGTGAATTTTACAGCATTGTTCATAATTTCTTTACACATTTCATATTTTAAACCAATGGAATTTTGGAAGTGCAGTTTTCATGTTTTCTCCATACACAAACAGATTGGAAATATCTGTCACTTGTTTGTTATCAGTACAAATTCCTGTTGGGCTCATGCTCTTTTTACTGGCTGACTGCAGAGTGTATATACCTACCGCGCATTCCAACTGGTACTTGGCACTGTAGGTATTGCCAGAATACCTTCGAAAGGGAAAAGTTTGTGCAGCATAATGCCAATGCTGTTGCTGCAGGAAGAGTTGCTGGAATTGATCCAATAGAACAGATAACCAAGAGATGTATTCGTATTATTCAAACTCCAGAGGCAGAAGTTCCTAGTGTCTGTGTGCTATGCAGGTTGGGATACTTCTATGTTGGTTTGAATTAATCTTCATCCTCTAAACTCCCTCCTCTTCCACTTGCCTTAAATAGTGCTAAGTCTTATTATAACATTTATGTCTGAAAATATATCCAATTACCCGGGTAAAAGTGTTGAACATTTTTAAATCTAACATTATGATCTAGATTTAAAATATTCTAGACAACAGAAATCTCTGATTTGATTTATTCAGAATTTGTAGCAGCGAGAAACTCTTACCTATATGATCCAAAAACTTGTTCTTTATTTGTAAATTGACAAATGTCCGATCCCATCATTCTGTGTGCTGCACTCATGTTGAGGCTTGATTATTGTTGCCACTCTCTCTCTCTCTCACTACTTTGAACTTTATTTTCTCGTGTTAACATACTGTTGATATTTGCAGAGGTCATGCTTTTAGCAAGTCAGGGTTTGGTCCTCGCACTGTTATACTTTGTGATCAGGTATCTTTTGGGTTCTGTTTGTGCTTAGGTTGTCTGCTGTAATTGACACTGAATGATCTGTGTTCATTTTCTTTCAGTGTGAGAGAGAGTATCATGTGGGTTGTCTGAGGGAGCATAACATGGATGATCTTAAGGTGCCTATTTTTTCTTCTGTTATAAATAACGCATAGTTTTTCTATTTCCCTCTGTTTATGAATTAGTAGTGACACCACGATCTTATCAGGAGTTGCCGAAAGGAAATTGGTTTTGTTGTGTGGACTGCAATAGAATTCATACTGCTTTACAGAAATTGATAGTTCGTGGAGAAGAGAAGCTTCCTGATTCATCTCTGCATGTTGTGAGGAAGAAGCATGGAGAAAGTAGTTTGGAGAGCAAGGCCAAACTCGATATAAGATGGAGGGTTCTCAGTGGGAAAATGCCTTCTGATGACACTAGAGTAACACTTTCAAAGGCTGTCACGATATTCCATGTATATTGTTTCCTGCTTAGACCTCTAACAAATTCATTGCTGATCTTTCATAGTATGTAACGTTATCTAACTAGATGAATGACCAGCTTGTTAAAGCCTGTTTAGCCGTCATGTAAACTTTAAGTTTTGTAGTTGCCTCAGTGCATTTAACGCACAAGGCTTCTTCTTTGTAGTTCATGTTGATTTGGGTCTTTGATGTGAACCTAAAGCTGTAGGAATAGCATAATAATCGATTTATGATGTTACTTTTGTGGTTTATTAGGAGCGCTTTGATCCTATAAGTGACTCTGGATCAAGTAAAGGGGATCTCATCCCATCAATGGTTTATGGGTAAGCAATACTCATCATTTATGCGTATCTTTGTTTAGCATGCTGATTATGCAGTGTGAATAATATTCATTAATGCTTTGGATAAGTTATTGAATAAGTTAAGTACACTTTAGCCACTAATGACTTGATTTGAACGAAGAATGAGAAAATATTTTGCTTATTTTGAAGAGGTTTTATTTTTTTCTTGAGTTTATACTTATCCTTCTAATTTCAAGTTTAAATTGTACCAACTATTCTCTATGTTATGAAAAACTGTTTATGCTTCTGTTATAATTAAACTTACATTAATATTTATGTAACCGAACGAGGCATAATTGGTTTTGCAGGAGAACTTTCAAGGGACAAGATTTTGGCGGCATGTACTGTGCAATATTAACTGTCAAGTGAGACTTGTTTTTTTCTTCTAGTTTTCTGGTTGAGTTCAATTTCCATTGTAATCTTCTATAATTTGGGTGTATCTGATTGACATGATTCTTTATTCGTGTCTTGCAGTCAAGTGGTTGTGTCAGCTGGTATCTTCCGGATTTTCGGGCAAGAATTGGCTGAAATTCCCTTGGTTGCAACAAGTACCGACAGTCAAGGACAGGTGACATGCTACTTTCTGAAAGAAAAAAAAAACATTTCCTCTCATCGTTCTTCATTTCGATTAGGAGACACGATGCAGTCCAACTAAAAGATATGAACATTGCAGGGTTATTTCCAATGCCTTTTCAATTGCATCGAGAAGCTGCTTGGGTTCCTAAGAGTGAAAATGCTTGTGCTTCCGGCAGCTGATGAGGCAGAATCCATTTGGACAAAGAAATTCAGATTCGGAAAGATAACCCAGGAAGAGGTAATATCCATTTCCTAACCATGTCTCTTGAATGCTAGACTAAATGAATGAGATCTGTTATACGGATGTATCGTAACATAACGTTTTATGTAATGTTGCAACAGCTAAACAAGTATAAAAGGGACTACCAAATGATGATCTTCCAGGGTACATCAGTTCTTCAGAAGCCAGTGCCAGCTATACGATTGATCGGTAAATCACAAGATGAATAACACTATTAAGTGTTGTTATTACATTTGAGTGTTGCTGAAACTGGGGAGTCAGCAGCAAGTGTTTCCTCCTAAGAATGTACAGTAAAGGGTTTCTTTGGTACATGAAAAAGATGAAAAGAAAACATTCTCTCTTTTTCTGGGTTTGTAGCACTGAAATGAGGGAGGGAAAGTCAGTTGCCCAAGATATAGGAAAATTAGGGGCGCAAGTCAAGTATCTAATTCCAGCCATTTCTATGTTGACAATTTATTTGTTTATTCATTTAAATGTGAGTTAAATAGATTTTATGTTTTACTTATGATTTACTTACACTCACGAAATCGATATATACAGAGAAATAAAGTTGTGGCTAAATTGTATATTTTGGTGTTCAAAACCACATTATTATTCCTTCAATTCACCCGAAATAAACTTCTCAAAATCCAAGTATTTTCCATATCAAATAGAAATACTAATTAGTTTTATATTTTTCGTTACATATTAATGCACACAAATCTTATTATTTAATATATTAAATTTAGCATAACCCATCAAATGGTTTCAGTAATAAATGTTAGAAATTTGGAATTTTAATTTTAAGTAGTTGTGTCTGCAAGGTGTGTAAATCAAAATGAAAGCTCTAGTCAGATATTGATCTAAATTATTAAACATGAAATTAATACTTGTTATTTGGAAAAATTAGTAATAGCATACTAATAGTCTCGGATTTCCGGTTACGCTCACGGAGTCCAATTGGAATCACAGTTCACCTATAAGTATCAATTACTCAAAGATGATTTCTAAAATCATCCATAGATAAATTAATTATCAGTAGAAAAATTCATCAAGTGGTTTTAAAATATATATATATATATATATATTATTCTAACAATTGTATTTATAATGTGTTATTAATAATTAAAAAAGATTTTAAATAAATAATGTATTATAATCATTCAGATTATTCAATATATATATACACCAAGGAATCATGTCTACCCAAGTTCCTAAGTAATTGATCCAATGGATGTAGTGCTTGCGCACACTTAATGTCCATCTAGGCCTAGCAACCCAACGGTTTAAGAAGTAAATTTTCGATCAACTACAATTCAATTTTCAATCTTAACATCAGAAAAGGATTTTAGTCTAACATTTAGGGATTTGCAATTTCTAGGGATTTTTCTCTTTAATCTTTCATTTTAACAAATTAGTTTCTCATCCATCTAATCCATTTTTATTTTCGATTTTAACAAACGAAAAGGAACTCGTTACTCATCAATGTCAACTCCCCCTCCTCCCACCACCACCACTCCAAACGGCCGATCCTCTCGAGTTTTCAGCGAATCCGACGAAATCCAGATCCTCAAATGTTTAGTCAGAGCCACCAAATCCATTTCTCCGCCAATCACAACCGTGGGCACCCCAACAATCAATCGCATCATCAAGCGTCTCAACGACAAGTTCTCCCCTTCCCAAATCAACGACAAGCTCCGTAGACTGCGAGACAAGTACCACAAGCATGCAAGAAACAAGTCTCTGGTAAGAACCCACCACGACCGAAGGATATTCAAGCTTTCTAAAAGAATCTGGGGCAAGAAGACAATACCCAGAAAGAAGAAGAATGAAATGGGAAGTGAAAAGGAAGACGGGGTTAAGAATTTGGCGAATTTCCGTTACCTGGTGGCTGAGTTTTCGAGGGTTTTGCCTGGGAATGAGGTTTGGAAAGAGAAGATGATGGGAATGGGAGAGGATAAGTTGAGGAAGATGGATCAAGAATGGGTTTTTCTCAAGGTTGAAGAAGCTAAATTGGTGGCTAGGAAAGCTGAGTTAATACAGCAGCAGATTATGGAGGTAATGGGGGAAACTGGGTCTGCAAATGGGGTATAGTTAGCTTCTTACTCTCTTTTATCCATTGTTTTTTATGGCCATGGATGTTTGAACTGCAAAACGAGGAACAGATATAGAATATCAAGCAATGTTTACAATGATTAATTATGCAGTAGCCCATAAGTCCAAGTTTACAATTTTCAATCCAAAGTTTCAAACTTTCAACTTGTGTTAACCTAATTTTGTAAAATTATATACTTTAATTCTTATTCAGGTTTTGCCTGTTCCAAGGGCAAACCACAGGAACTTTCAGAAGTGAGAATTTTATGTACTGTAGCTTGTGATTTCTTCCTTGGTTTTGAATTTTAAACAATATAATACATACAAGTAGAGGTGTTTATTAAGCAAGTCTATCACGAGCTAAGCAGTGTTTGATTTGACTCAAAAACTATTTAGCTCGTGTTTGACTCAGCTCAATACTCGATAAAATTTCACTTGAATCGAGCGTCTTAAAATAATTTGCTTTAAGGTTACTAGAAATTTTACCTATAACATAATATATATACATAAATTAATAAATTTAAAAATATATATATCAAAATAATATGTTACGAGATTTTGAAGTCTAAATTTCTGAACAACAATTTACAAATAAAAAAGTAATAATCCACGATTATACCAAACATCTTAAAAAATTATTAAAAACTAATAAGCTACTCGGAATTTCCACAATAGAGATGGAATTGAAGAAATCAACCAAAATTCTAGGAAATGTTTCATCCATGCCATCTGAAGCATCTTAATTTTATATCTAATGTAGAGTGCCAATGAGATTAGGTCATCAGGAAAGAAAGAAGCAAAGCCTAAACACGGAATTCTCCCCAATAGTGAACTACAATAGAAATACAATCCTTGATTTCCATAACACCCGTACTGTTTAAGCAGAGGAGAAATTTTCAACCAACTTCTTTAATACTGAAAAGCTGATGTAATTACTTGGCAAGAGTCAGATTCTCTTGCTGCTGCTGATAATTAAGAGGCCTCCTGAAAAGCATGATGTGTGGTTCGGGACGATGAATAGCATAATGAACCCATCCACGACTCTGCTGTACTCCGATTGCACGCCACTCATTCTATAAAAAAAATATAAAGGGATAGCCAAAATCTATTGGAGATAACAGCATCAATACAACTTGCTTCAAGGTGTAACATCCTCAATACCGGGTTAGTAACTAAATTGTAAAATTTTAGAATTTGGTGATAAAGATAGGATAGTTGAATAGTTCAATGATTTATGTGAAGATATTTCCTGGAAATTGTTAGTAATTATTAAAAGAATGAAAGGGAAAAAGTGTCATTTGACTTTAAAAAAATGATATATATGTAGGCGGAGATAAGGACGAGGAGATATTTTCTCCACTTCATCTTCTTCTTCTTCATATACGAGAGAAAGAGAGAGCCAAGCTTGCAAAGGTAAATTTTCTAATTTGTTGATTATTTGTTGATTTAAGGGTTGTGTTTTGATCATTAGATGATAACTAAGCTTAAGAAAAGTTTAAGTTATCTTAAAATCAAAAGATAAAGGAGTTATGACAGATTAAAGAAAATGGATTTTTAAGTAAATTTTGATTAAGAAGGTTTAAATGAATTTGAAAGATGAATTTGACTTGTCATCTATGAGAATAAAAAGTTATAAGTGTTAGAATTAAGTTTGGATAACATGAAAAATTTGGTATGATTCTTAGCCTTAAGAATTTAGATGAATTATGGAAGATTATAAGATGTTGGAATGATAGGAATTGGTTAAAATTGTTATAGATGAATTTAGTAGTATAATAAAGATTTTATACATGAAAATTTAGGTGAAGTGTTAATGATTTTCGGATGAAATAGTCTATTATGGGCAGGTGCATCGTTGCACTATAAGTGTGTACCGATACACTAAGACAATTTTTGAATGTGCATCGATGCATGGAAATTTCAAAGTTATTTTGGGTACCGATGCATACATAGTGCATCAGTACACTCCTAAAGGAAAAGTAAATTTTTGGTTTATCAAATTAGCCCAAGTTATTAATACCAAGTTATAATGTTTAGGCTTCTGAAAATCGTCTCGAAATTTATGTTTTGTAGATATTGAGCCTAAACAAGTTCAGGAACAATCAAAGAATTAGGATCGAATCAAAGCAAGGCTAAGGTGAGTGCAATTTAAATTGTACTTATGTGATTGATCAAGCATTGGCTTGCGATGAGCCAATGATGGAGTTACTATGGTAAGAAGTAATTTATAAAATGTTATGTGATTACTATGTGTGCATTAGTACATAGAAATAGATATATGTTATTATATGTTACACGATTTACATGCTTACGTGAAAATACAACATATGATATATGTTACTTGATATGACATGCAAGGTTACATGAACAAATGAGAAATAATAAAAGCCATATGAAATGATTTATGTGAATACATGCATTTGTGATGCGTGTTATATGATATTAGATATATGTTTACACATACATGTGGTATGTGACAGAAGAGAAGGAACATGTGATTATAAGATTAATGATTACACGTACATGTGATACGTGACTGAAAAGAAAAGATGTGCTTATAAGAGAAAGGATATAATTAAGTAATATGAACTGTTATAAATGATAAATCCTATGTTATGTGATATGAGAGCTAGGGGTAAAGTTGGCATGCCAAGGGTCGAGGGTTTACCTATGTTCTTCGGGATATATGGATTGTTTACCTATGTTCTTCGGGACATATGGACTAATTACTTAGGTTCTTCGGAATCTATGGACTGGTCTTTCGGGACATTTATACGAGTTATGGTGACAACATAATTGTACAAAACCTCAATGTACTCACATACCTTAAGTTCTCAGTAATGTACATGGACTTATAAAAGATTATCAAATGTAATTGCATAATTATATGATGTTATGTGTGTTTCTTTGCGATATGATAAATGTGTTATATGATATACATAAATGATAAATACAAGATCATATGATAAATAGAGATTTCGAGAATGATGGTATATGTGCATGTATGCATTTTAATATATGAAATGTTTTATGGTTTTTATTATATGTTTATATGTCTCACTAAGTCATAGACTTAGCGTGTGATTGTTTCATATGTAGGTTCCGAAAAGAGGAAGAATGATAAAAGCTAGGCAAGAAAGGTCAGTTCTCCTTTCCAAAGATCAGATCATAAAATAATTGAATAGTATGTATTTTGTAATAATGATAGTGGTTGGCATGTAAATAAATATTTGAATCCGATATGCTCTAATCGGTTTTGTAAAATTATATGATTGAATTTTGTAATGTTTTTAAGTATATATGTACATGGTAAATATATAGTAATGAACGGTTAAATTTTTACGAGTTTTATGAACGTTTTACGAAAATTACTATAGCAGTGCATCGATGCACTATAGCATCATTGTTTACTCATTCAAACCATAATTCAAAACTAGGCCAGGTGATATAATTATACTGCAAATCATACGACAAGCATCACAAACTAAGAAATCTGAAGCTTATAATACATGTGAGCAAGTGTAGGAAGGACCATGCTTTCCGTCAGCGCAACATTACTCACAGTAGTAAAATGAATTATTGTTTTTTATATAGAGAGCCAGCTATTATCATTTATCATCATTGATGAACAATCAAATCAGAACTGATAATTATGATTATTAATAATTATTTATTTTTGTTTCACAATTCATGGGAATTATTAAATTAAACAAGTACCGCATTCAATTTTTGAAACTAATCAAAAGCGAAATTGAATAAAAGATGAGCATTTCAGTAAAACCCTAAGAACAACAAACAAACATACTTCAGAAAGGAGGCGATTCTTGGGGAGAAGTTTGGCCACTTCGGAAGGAAGAAGAACATGCCTGTACGATAAAAAACACAAGAAAATTGAAAAAAATGAAATCGGAAGTAATTCAAAAAGAATAAGAAATCCATAACCTAGTTCTGAAAATAGAACATGAGTTGAGAAGCAGTAAAAAAATAAATAAAGGAAATGAAGTATTACCTGTATTCATAAGTATCATCGAAGTATTTCTCAGAATATTGAATTTGACCCATTTTCTTCGGTTTTCCTAAAATAAAAACTAATGTTCTTGCTCTGTTAGAGATCAAACTTCGATTTCAATACTCGATCTGCCATAAACGAAACAATTGAAAGGAAACAAATAAAAAGAGAGATAAACATGCGACGGTTATACATATAATCTTGCATAATAAAAATAAAATCTAAAAAGAAAAAACAATTCGGCATACCTTGAAAGAGAGTGATTTGATTGGGAATTTGTGACTTATTAAAAGAAAAAAAATATATAAAATACGTAAGTAAGAGAGAAAGTAGAAGAAGAAATTTGAATAAAGAGAAATTTGAATTTTCCCGCTTTTTTTATCGAATCATTCGGTTGTCAATACTAGTAATAATAAGTAATCGCTTCATCTTTTTTTCTTTCTTTTTCTTTTCCTTTTGGTTCAATCAAATTCAAACTTGGACAAGTCGCTTCTTCTCTAAAACGTTTTGTTGGTGAACAAGGGTGCATTTAGTTTTCTCACATTCGCCAAGGGAGCTTATACTTATCAATGATAAATGTGTAAACTACACGTTTAATATATAAAATATTTTTTCTGTTTTAATACCTAATTTTTTTTGTTTCTAAATCATATCTAATGTTTTGCTTAGGTTTCATTTTGGTACCTCGTTGTTAATAATTTAATGGTGATATAAATGTGTATTATAAGGTAATGTCACGTCATCATTGAAAAAAATAAAAAAAATGTTAAATCAATAGTTCTGTTAATTTTTTAACCACACATAACCAATTTGAAATATAAGCTAAACAATATATAAATTTGGAAAAAAAATAAAGTTTTGAGTATCGAAACGGAAAAAAAATATTTAAATATTAAACGTGTAGTTTACCCAAAAATTATTTGGAAGTATATAAATAATGTCATTATCGTTCATCTTTTAGTTAATATGATATTTTATCGAAATTTATTTACCAATTTAATCATTTATTAATCCATTTGATTGATTTAAAATGTAACCTTCTATCGATTCAGTTTAAAACTTTATTATATCTAACCTATGCTTTTGATAACATTTTCTATTAC